ACAAAACATTACTTCTCTCCCACCCTCTTTTGTTGGTAATTTATAGAAATTATTAAGGACAAAACATTACTTCTCTCCCACCCTCTTTTGTTGGTAATTTATAGAAATTATTAAGGACAAAACATTACTTCTCTCCCACCTTCTTCTGTTGGTAATTTATAGAAATTATTAAGAACAAAACATTACGTCTCTCCTACCTTCTTCTGTTGGTAATTTATAGAAATTAATAAGAACAAAACATTACGTCTCTCCCACCTTCTTCTGATGGTGCTCTTTCCATCGAAGCATACAACATGACTTTCATTTCCTGTAAAGTTTAAAGAATTAATTTAGAACAACAGCTACAGTAACATAAACTTTTTATAATAAAGTTAAAATTGCTCATATCGAAGTTTTGCAGTAAAGTACAATTTCTAGATGGTTTCCTATGGTATACAATTTTACACAGTATCTCAAATAACATCAGACTTCATATAATAAATGTAAGTGATATTAAGTGCTACAAAAAAATAGTATCATAAATTGAAACATGAAATGAAAGCTACAAGTTAAATGGTTTAGCTACTCAAAATATTAAATTCTGGTACGATTACAAGTCTATACTGTAGAATTATGGTTAGCAACAGAATTAAACCTGGATGCAGATTTGTTTTAGACAGAAATAGATAAATTTGAAATATCTTTCACTTCTGAAATTATCTTAAGCAATAAGCACATGTAATTTTGCTGATAGCTTGAGTCTATACAGTGGATTATACAAAATTTTATGTAAATACATGTTAGCAAATAATGTATATAAACTGTTACTACTATCACAAACTGTTATTGTGGCAGATGAGATACTTCAGTATTTAAATTTTAACATTAAGTAAACATACTTTTAAATGTAACATTGTCATTAAAAAGAAAGAATAAGCTGACAATTATGAATAAATTACACTGGCCTGCAATGGTTTTTATTGTCTTGAAATTTTTACACGTTCTATAGTAATTCCTGTACGCTGAATTCGAAAATGATATCCATTTTTCTCCATCGCGTACAGATGTTTCACAAAACGTCACAATGCAATACATAAAAGAAAGACCACAACACATAGTTTAGAGACTAAAAGACAAAAAAATCAGGATGAATGAGGATGCATATTCATTTGACATTAATGTTCTTCAGTTTGTTTGTATTTTTGTTAACAAACACAACAATAAAAAATGTTCATTGTGGTAAACAAAATAATAATTTGACCTAAGTAAGAGTGCATTTTTTCTTCCAGATTTGTAAAAAATACTTACGTGATAGAAAAAAATGAATATTATTTTTGAAATCTGCATAGCTGAATTATAGAAAATCCATAATTAAAACCAAAACAACTTTTATGAAGTTTAAATTCACAAGCCTGTGTTATTCAATCTATTGGGATTATCTCAAGCAAGAGTCAACCACCAACACAATTACTCCCATTAAAAAACATCATATTACTATTTCAGCAAATTAATTTACAATCTGAAAAACAAGCAATTATAGCAGTGAACAAGTTTGAATCTAAGTTTCAAAGTTTTTACATTTACTTACTACTTTTCATATTTAAGTTATATGGCAAAGTTATATGGTTATATGGTTAAGTTATGACAAAGTTTTTTAAAGATCAAAATGAGCAGCATCGATCAGGAAGCCCTGGTCCACAATAGTGGAAGCTCTATCAAAACATTCCAGCAAGTTCGTAAAGCAAAAAAAATCCTTTTATTATAAAAAAGCACAGTGAAAAATATTCATTCACAATGCCAACTTTCCAAATGTTTTTTCTAAATGACTGCTTGCCAAATTATTCTAACATTTAGCTACCAAAAGAAATCAAACTAATAGGTTTATAATTTCCCAACTCCTTCCACGAACGTTTTTATTTTATATCGAAGTTTTTAATCATGATAAATTCCACAAAAGTAAAGATTTTTGAAAACTAACAGCCAATGTCCACACCATATGTAGTTGCTTGGTAAGCTTGTTCAAGGCCTTAGGATAAATTCTTTTAAGGGGGCTAGAACCTTTACTTCCTAGAATTTTCTCAAATATTTCTAAAGCTTCTGATAAATAGATTTGAATGGAAAAAATTTTTTTCTTTTAAACAGGAATTGTTAAATATTTCAGTCATGTTTTCCCTCTATAATAAGGTTCCCTTTATAATCTCTTAATGGACCATTATTATCATTGAACCTTTTTTTTCCAGTTAATACAAGCTTAAAACTGTTCATTTCAGGTTTAATATTCTGAGTTAAAAGACATTTATAATTCCTCTTTATCTAACAACTAGACAGCAAATTTTTATTTTAAACATATGGACATATAACTATACCTCATTAAACAGAAATTTAATGCCATGCAGTTTTGCTGTCTCCTTGTGAAGATCTATAGTATACATTCTATCACAATATTGGCAAGGTTCTTGTATAATAATGACATCAAATTTGTTACACGTGATGTTGGAATGAAATATAGTGTAAAACGTGGTGTAATTGGACCACAAAAAATAAGATTTTAAATTAGTGTGCTATCTCAGTAAGTGCTATAAGTAATGCTAAAAAAAATTATAAATGAGGATGTAATTAAATGTTGATATATATCCATTACATCAATATGTAAAGCTGAGTGATTTAATTAATTAATCAAATATCTATGAGCAATGATTACATCTATTGGCACCACATAAACTAATCTATTAATCAAAATTACAATAAAATTGATTAATCAAAACTGGCATTTCCAATTAGTTCAATAATTAATTAATCAAAATTACAATTAAATTTATTGTCACAAAATAATCAGCTAATCAAAATTAAGGTTTCTAATTATTACTATTTTTGATTATTCAACTATACAAGTAATTGAAATAGTGCTGTTATGTTTTCTTGTTAAACATAAAGCTAGTTGATGGGCCACCTGTTCTCATCCACATTTTAGTCTCATAAATTGTTCTTCTTACTTCAAATTTGTTTAGGTTTGGCAAATCAAGAAGGGAGGCTCGTGGACAATCATCAAGTGACTCAGAAAACCACATAAAAGTAGCCGACTCCCTAAAAACCAGAGCCATTACTTCCTTGCTCATATGCTATTGATGTGGCCGGCAAATCAGCTGTAGTAGTTACAGAAGCTGTGATAAATGCCATGTGGAATTGCAAGTGCAGAACCAGTGGATTTGTCTGAAATTACATCCTGACAATTACACTGCCAATCAAGAAATGATTACGGACTACTCAGAAGAGAGGGTGCAAATGATGTTATACTCCTATTGGTGAAGGGTTGCTGCATGATCACTTGCATGACAGCATGCAGGTGTTTCATATGAAGGTAGGTAAGAGTATCAAGGCTAGTGACAAGTAAAAAGGTGTATATGTAGAGGGCAGAATAAGTAGAGAAAAGCTATTTGTGAAAAAAGGTAAAATATCGTATTGGAAAATACTACTACTCTGGTCTCTCTAACATTAGTAACAAACATTAATGTAAGTGTAAAAGCCAATAAGTGAAAAGGAATTCTGGGACTAGGGCTTAAACCCAGGACCTTTGGCTAACAGGGATTATGTGATTTGGTTAGGTGGTGGTAAACCAAACCACTAGTTGCCTGATCACAACAAAACATAATATGAAGTTCAAACTTATATTAAAAAAGCTTTTTTTGAGTGAAAAAGAGTTGGAAATGGACAGCTTAATTGACATAATAATGGCCCTCTTAATCAAAAGTCCTGGATTTAAGCTCCAGTCCCAGAGATTCTTCTCATTTATTTTGGCTTTTTCATTTTCTATAGTATAATGTTTATTTGAAAGTTTACTTTCATTGATTCTTAATATAGATTAAAAAGTTACTCTATTCTCTATGCTAAATGTATTAATTTACAATGAAATTTAATTTAAAATCAAACCATGCAAGTTCATAGTGTTCTATATTAATACAGTAGTAGTAATAATATAACAATGTTTAGGGACAACAAGAGGCGTATTGGTCCATCTAGGCTGACCCATCCCCTAAACTGAACAAAAAATATTAAATGAGAAAAACCTCAAAGCCAGCCCTTATCATTTATATAGTTATCAAGGTTTCTCTTAAACTCATTCAAATTTACTGCCTCCACAACATTCAAAGGCACCCCTTTCCAAAGGCTAACCACCCTGTTAGAAAAATAAAACTGTCTTAGCTGAAGATGACTCCTACCATACCAAAATGTATATTTCTGTCTTATAGTCCTACCATTCTCACCGTTAGTTACGAAAGAAAATGATGCACCATCACTACAAATTCCCTTTAAAATTTTAAAGACCTCAATGAGATCCCCTCTAACTCTTCCTTTTTCATGAAAAAATAATTTCTGAGATCTTAACCTCTCCTTGTATGATGACAACCCCTTAATCCCAGACATCATTTTAGTAGCCCTCCTCTGAACCCTTTCCAACAACTCAATGTCCTTCTTAAGGTAAGGAGCCCAATACTCCAAATGTGGCCTAACTAGTGACCTATACAATGAAACTATAACCTCTTTAGTTTTTTATATAAATTTAATATTTCAGTAGATACAACCTAAAATCCTATTTGCTCTTCAAGTACCACTAGCAACAGCACACTGCTTGGATGACTTAAGAGACTGATCAACCACTACACCAAGATCACTTTTTTTAATAACACTGTTAAGTTTATTCCCATTCAAAGTATGAATAACCTACATCAATCTTACATTTATTATAAATAAAACCATCTGTCATTTATTTTCTCAACTCACTAAATCAGTAAATGATCTAAATCATTTTGTAAAGCAGCAGCATCCTCCTCACAGCCAGCAACACCAAAGATCTTTATATCATAAGCAAATTTAAGTAATTTATGGACCATTTCTTCATCTACATCATTGACGTAAATCAAATAGAGCAAGAGTTCTAACACCGAGCACTGAGGTATCCCACTTTTGACATTAAATAATCCAGTTTCACTGAACTTCATCTATAATAACCCTTTGCTTTTTTCTATCCAGCCACTCTTCTATCCAATTATCTAACTTTTTTGCCCATACCTATAGAGATGTTTTTTACAAGCCTTATGATTTTTTTATGTGACACTTTATCAAATGCTTTCTGAAAATCAAGATACACCAAATCTACACCCTATAACTAAGTATAAGTTAGTGTATACACATAAAATAAGTACTGATGTTAGGTTGTTACTGCCATCATTAGCGGCTTAATCATAAATGATCACTTATACTAATAATATCATAAAATAGCTCATTTAAATTAAATTTCAAGTTTTTTATTCACTTACCTCGTACGTAATATACTGTTTTCGCCATTCTGGTGTAATATGTGCTGATAAATGTTCAGCGAATTTCATAACAAAAATATTCAGTTAACTTTAAGCTAGCCCTGATTTTCTTCTGCTACTAAGTAATTAAATAGTAACTATTATTAAATCAAAATAGTGACAAGTAAATGTTATCATAAACATAAATTATACTATAGTATATAGACTAGACATCTAAACTTTCCTCCATTGAATCAATCCAGCTATCACCATCTGCTCCGTATTTCGAAAATCAACGACACTGATTGGACAATAATATTTAAAAAGTATAAAGGTCCCGACCGATTTTTCCCTGCGAAATCCCAGTAACCCTATTGGCTTGTTATTGAAATTCGCAACACCGTAGGAGGTTTGTTATTTCTCAGAGCGGGTGCACGTGCTTTTTCTACTCACCTAGTTAGCTAGTGGGCTGGAAACTGAATGAGACGTGTATTTACACTAGCATCGTTTGTGTAATAACGTTTAAAGTAACAAATATTAGTCTTGGTAATTTTCTTTTCACATAAGTTTCGTCCTTTTTTGTACTAAATCGATAATTTATCTATTTTTCGATTTCCAGCAAGTGTTACTAGCAGCAGAAAACAATTATTTATATCTGGGCGGTCTGATAAGAATTCTAAGGTAAGTATATTTCTATAATGAACGTTTAATAGGCTTTCTTACGATTTTACATATTGCTAGTAAACGAATATACCAATTTTATATCGCTATTCTGTAGTAATAAAGGTTTGTAGATATTTTATAATTAAGCGTTAATTTTACAATTTATAGTTATGATTTTAGAAATTAATATTGTTCTTATGTTTCAGATTTTTCGTGCGAGTTTTCTGCTTTTCACATTTGACTAATAATAATGAAAAATTATGTTTTTAAAGACAGGGTATCCCCTCTCGCACACAAAAAATCGTAATGCTCAAAATATATTTATCAGTGATACTTCTATTGGTATTACTTTACTAAGTTCTTAAGCACTCCACACATATAGAGGTGTAATATACTTATAACAATTATGCTTGTTATTGGTCAATATTACGTGTGTGTCAGTTTTATCTACGAACTTTGAAACTCTCTAAAAATTATAATTTGGACTTCAATAATAGATTTAAAAAAGAGCTATATTATTATTTATTAACAAGAACATATGAAAGAAAGCAAGAGATAATATCGGCTTCCGGTCAGGTTAAGCTAGGTGCTTAGAGCGAGACTCAAAATCAAGCTGGCCATCAATATAGCTAATTAAATATGCTCTCTTTATGTTTCTACTTATAAAGATTATAATTCATTGCGTCATCAGATGAGTACCTTCGCTATTAACGATATTATACTGTTACGACAGCGGAAGTGACCCTAGTAACACGTAATGAGTTCTAGAAAGATCGGGGAACATCAGGAATAATCCAGTATTTGCTAAGCGCCCTCTACTGTTGTATATAAGTGCGCCAGACAATGAATCGAAATTGAATT